TATGGGAATTCAGTCTATGGTCAGCAAACTCCAAGTCAGAAACATCATGGTTGAAGGGCATAGTGGAGCAAAGCTGCTTAGATCATGGAGGCAGGGAAGCAGAACAGGGGAATAGTGCTAGAGAAGAAAAGATGAGGGACCATATATAGACCCCAAGGTCACATCTCTATTATCTGCCCAGACACAATCAGAAGTATGCTCCACCAATCCCCTGAGCAGCTTCCAAGACAGTCAAGCATAACCATTAAACCAACTGTTTCTAACTTTTACTAGTCAATATTGTCTAACATGTGTTCTACTTCCTCACCATCTCCTTACTGAGTCTATCACTGCAAAGAAACCACGGTAATCATAAATGAGGAAAATGTAGTATATCTGTCCCAAATGAGGGAGAGGTGCTGAAAAAGGACCTTGCCAAACCGGTTAAAAAGAAACAGCCTGGGGCTGGGGATTTAGCTCAGTGGTTCTGTCACCTGCCTCATAAGTACAAGGTCCCGAGTTCAATCCCCGATACCAAAAAAAAAAAAAAGAAAAAGAAAAAAAAGGAACAGCCTGTTGTATTGTATCCCTTGCTAAACTCTCAAGAATTTCTAGAAAATCTACAAACAACTAAAAATTTATTATTTGTTGCTTCATGGGACTGAATAAGGACAGAATACTCATAAGAATGACTTTGTGCCAACTAAACAGTTTAGTCCAATAAAATTTGTGAGGAAGACCCACTGTATTTTTTTCCTCCATGTTTTCTTTCTCATCTCTGCCCTGTCTTATATAATTCCCTTTTCTACCTATGTTTGAAGAAGTCAATCTACTTTTTGGTTTTCTTTTATACAAATAGTGTGTTGAGTCTTTGACAGTCTACATCACTTTAATTTTAAGTTTTATCACCTATCTTTCCTCTTCAAGAAATATACTGCACTCCACACATTTGCATCCATAGCAACTGTTATTATTTATATCACGATGTTCCCCCAAAGTCTCATGAGCTCAAAGGTGGGGCTATGGGAAAGTGATTGGACCATGAGGTCTAATACTAATCAGTGGATTAGTCCATTAATGATTTTATAAATAAGTGTGATGTTGGAAAGTGAAACCTGGTCCAAGGTGGGTTACTGAGGGCATGGCCTAGAAGGTTTAGCTCCCTCCTCCTCTCTTGATCTCTTTCTCCTTTACTACCATCCCATAAGCAACTCTCCTCTGACATGACCCTCTGCCATGCTGCCTTGCCTTGCAGCCAAATAACTATGGACCAAACCTCTACAAACTGTGAGCCTTTTCCTTTAAGTTTCAAGTGTTGGGTATTGTGTCCCAGTGATAAGAAAGTAACTATGACAGCAACTATCTCCTTTCTCTATATTTCTTTCCTGAATCTCTAGATTCTCTACCATTTATTTTGGTGACTTACCAAATATATATCCCTGAATGACAATTTATCTGTTTCACATATACAATCAAGTCTCTTGCTGGATTACAAACACCAGAGATTATATCATAAATTCCTTTGGTTACCTCTCAACAGTTAATATAATATCACTTTTAAAAACTGTAGAACAGGAATTTTATTTTAATTGTTATGGGTTTTTTTTAACACAATCCATGCCTTGAACTGTTTTTGACACATTCTCTCTTGACTTGCCTTCTATGAAACCTCTCTTCTGTTCCCTTCCTACTTCTACTACTCTATTTTAGTTTTGCTCCTTCATAGCCTTATCCTTTCCAACTCTCAAAACTTCATTCTTTGTATTGAGCCTATAATTTTTTCTTGGCCATTGTTAAACAAGTCCCAATCCCACCTCAGTAACTTCAAACTCATTGGGTAAGTAGTGTGGTAACTTCTAAATATTGGTGCATGGCTCTGTCTCCCATGGGCATCTCCAATTCCACATGGTCAAAATGGACCTCATCATCTTCTTCTCAAATCATCTCTTTTTTTTCACTGAATTAAGTGGCTCAGACCAGGTATTTTAACTAAATTTTAGACTCTCATATTCTGCATCCAATAAATGGCAAAGGCCTACAGACCTTGCCTTATAATTTTGTCTACATTGGTTTTCTATTTTTCCTCTATGCTTAGAACCTGCATGAGTCCCACATTAATACTGTATATGCTCTTGTATTCAATTGTTGCTTAACTTGTCACTGCAAACCACATCAATTTCTTAGTGGAGCTAGAATTGTCCCTCCATGACTCTAATTTGTTTTCTTTCCTATTGAATTATGTAGAAATTCTTCTGCAATCTGCATCATGTGGTCTAAACAACCTTCAAGTATTATATACTTTCCATATCTGTGAATTGACTGAACAATTTTGAATTTTGGGCTGCCATTTCCACAGGACCCAAGCATACTCACCTCTGGCTCTGTATTTATATTGATTTTTATACCTCAAATGAATCTCACTAATCTCTCATATTTCCACCTCAACACATCTCTTCTTTAATCTTACAGTCTTTTTTTTACCCTTAGAACAATTCACTTATTTTTGTATCATATATTTTCCAGGGAAATATTTCATGTAGTTTAAAATTCTTTTTAGACAGTTAGTGTAGGGCACAGAAATGAACTTACTCATTTCCCTACACTCTCGGGGGCTTATATATTTTCTTAAATATGGAAGGTTTAATATGTTGAAGTGAAAAATGCTATAAGTGTTTGGAAAACGAAGGATAAATAACCTGCCCTTCAGAAGGAGCTTCTCCTCACAGACCTCCTCACTTACTAAGCATGCAACCCTGTAGTCGTGTCTAGTGCCAAATATGGAAAGTGTTTTTTTGTGCTTGTTTATTGTTTTTCTCAGCTGTGCAACCTGACTTCCACATTGGCATCAAAAAGTATAACCTACTAAGATAATACATATTCAACTACATAAAATAAGGTAAAATTTATAAAATCAGCCTGTGTCCCATTATTTATTTATTCATTCATTTAACAACTATTTATTTAATCTCAGGTACTTGGTTATAGAAGCATAAAACTAAAACAATGGGTGTCTATTATTTTCTAGCCACAGTTTTAGGCTCTGGGAATATAACAATGAACCAAATAGGTAAATGTGAACCTACAAAGAAACCCCCATTCTACCGGAAGAGAGTATAAACAAATACATATGTTAGGCTGGGAAAATGCTATTGAAAAAAAAAATAACAACACAGAAGAGAAAGATTGAATTATATGCTGTTTTAAAGAAGATATTGAAAAAAATGTCTCAGATGAGGTGGCTTTTGAGTAGGAACGTGAATGAAATTAACAAGGGAATAATAAAGACAAATGGGAAAATATTGCTTGAGGTATGGTGAATAGTAAGTGCAAAGGTTATGCAAAGGCATAAGACTCAGTGTGATAAAAAAAAAATGAGAAAGTGAGCTAGGCATTGTGTCTCACTACCTTAATCCTAGTACTCTGGGAGGAGGCAGAAGGGTGAGGATCTCAAGTTCAAGCCCAGACTGGGAAATTTAGTGCGACTCTATTTCAAAAATTAAAAAAGGGCTGGAAATGTAGCTCAATGGGAAGGCTTTCAGTTCCAACTTTAGGAACAAAAAAGAAAACAGGAAACGGGTAAATGCTTATACTGCATTATTCATAAATGCAGCAAGCTCTTTGAAATTAATTAGTATGGAATATTCTCTTGGTAAAAATGAAAGCATAATAATTTTATAACTAACTTATAATTTAATGTATATATATATTTTATTACACTATGGTGAAAGTGTTACTCCACAATAATCAAAATAATTTTATGTGCATAGGTGTAGACCAGCTTATTACTATTTGTTTGCCCTCCTCTTCTCCTCCTTCTTCTTTTTCTTGCTGCAATCAAACAAAGGGCCTTGTATTTGCAGACAAGTGCTGCACCATTAAAGTACATACCCAGTCCCTGTTTGTACTTTATTGTTTATATTTTTAAATTTAAAAATATGCTTTATAAGATACAGATCTTGATAGTTTCTTCATATCTACTAGTAGGAAAGAAGTTACAGATCTTAAATACCAATATATTATATCAATATATATCTTTCAATCTTGATGTCACGATATGTTCCAAAGCAATAACTTTATTTATTTATTTATTTATTTATTTATTTATTTATTTATTTAGCAGTACCTGGGATCGAACTCAGGACCTTGCACTTGCAAGGCAGGCAGCAGAACCACTGAGGTAAATCCCTGGCCCTAAAGTAATAACTTTAAGGTAAGGGCAATTAAAATTCAGTCTCAACGAAATCAAACTCTTAATGTTTCCATTAGTTCTAAAGTTTGGATTAAGCTCTGAGCATTGACTATCAAAACTAAGTTATTATATGTTAAAATAAAACCTACTCTAAAAACAAAATGCTTGTAAGTACTTGGAAACAGAGCTGAATTGAAGCAACAATGACTGTATACTAATGTCACTATGATCAATGTTTATGACTAAGAAAAAAGCACAACTATATTAGCATCTAGAACTTGTAAAAATGAGATTAAAGCTTTTAGATTAGAAATTGATAGACTATCATCCTGCAAGGACAGAATTAAGGAATATTCACTCACATTGGTCTGTGAACACTCATACATCTCATTGCATGAACCTTACATGACACACTCACCAAAAGAATTCATGAAGCATTACTGCAATTATTGATATTCAACATACCCTGATATGATACGTAACATGACTTTTCACCAAACTTCACTTGATCTAAACTAATTAAATACAAGAGTTAATCAATGTCAAATAAATCTAATACTTTATTAAGTTGAAAATCCTAGCACCAATATTAGGGGCAGTTTTATTTCTAGAGCATCTCTCTACATATTTCATCATTTATTCTTCAAAACTAAAGAATCATCTATTAATATTTCATCTTGCAGTTGTTGAAAGGATTTTTTTTTGCAGAAGAGAGAATAAATGATGGAGTTAGGTCTAAAACCCATGGTCTAAGTATGGTTTCACAGTTCCTTTTACATTGTTATACTACAATTTCCAGTGATTTATTTAAAGAAAAAAAATAACTTCTCACCTTTCTGACAGTTTCCCCATATAATTTGCCGAGTATTTTCATAATTTGTATTCAACCAACTAAGTAGAATCCTTTCTGAATCTGAATATATGTTGCTGGATACAAAACAAGGGCTGATTTTTTGTGTGTTTTGCACCTTTATTGGAGGGACAGCATTGGAGAACCGTGGTGCAACCCTGGATAAAACCAGAACCTGAAATTGTGAAAGTTAGCTTTTACTAGATTTAAGTGAAGAAAGTAACAAATTAATATTTGGAGAGTATATAAAAATATGATAGGAAGGTAAAAAAAGGTACCAGTATTTTCTCTTTAAGTGTATTCACTCAGGAGTAAAAGAAGAGATGAGATTCATCCCACTAATACTCATTTTCAATGCACAGATTTTTGCTTCTATAGGGCATCACATCATGCAATTAGGTTAGACTGCTAATTCATTTAAAACAAATGTATTTGAAATGCTTTCCTCATTTCTTTACCAGCTCATGCAACTTAAAAAAATTAAAATTTTGAAAGTCAAAGTAATATTAACTAGTCAAAACTGATTTTGACATTGATACTCACTGAAGAAGTGTGTTGTTAAGATAACAAAAATATATACAATTCTGTAACGTGACATACTGAAATCATATCACCATGTATACTACATGTATTAATACATGTATTTTCACAAAAACATATCTGGATTTAAAAGTGATATTAAGAAAAGGTTTCTGTGTCTAATCAGTAAAGTACTGTAGAAAAGAGCTATTCAAAATTATTCACTGCTAGCCATTTGGCATGGGTTCTAGATGAGATGAACAGCTTGTGTTCTACTACTACTACAATAATACTACTTCTCTCTCTCTACATATATATTTTTTCTTCTTGTTCACAGAATCCTAAATGAAAGAGTCAGGAGTTAGATCACTGCTTTATATGACAGTACAAGTCAGCTCCTTGGCTCATCCCAAACCTTTAATGGACAGTAATCCAATGGCATTGGTATGGAGACCACAATTTGACTGATACATGCTATAGAAATACTGCAGTTATCCTAATCATATCTACCCATCATTCACCTTCATATTATGAAGGCTGCTTATTGTGAACATGCACCAATTTTTGTTGCTTGGATATTTTTTCCGGCATGCGGGAATACAGTTAGGCCACCAGAAGCAACCTCCTTTCAATGATAGGGTGATTGGTAGCTAAATGTTCTATCTTCTTCCCATCATTTACTTGCAGTACACATCAGATATGTTCTACAATACCATCCAAAAAATCTGGTAGGATTGAGCCTCAGTTGCCCAACACAAAACCTACTTGGAAGCACCTGCTGTTAGCCTCATTGTACATTGTTTAAATTCCCTCCTCTGGTACTCTTGTTTCTTGGGATCACCTTTGAAATAATGTACCTGATACTTGTCTCAGAGTCTGCTTCTAGAAGAATTCAATCTAACATAATTACATTCATAGTCATATATGTTTATTGTAACTTTGGGAAAAAAGTGGTTATTTCTTTATGTAGTAGGTATCTACTATATGTAGTGTCTCAAATATCTGCAGTTTAAAAATTATTAAGATACTTATGAGGGTCTCAAAACTATTCTTTTTTTCCTGCTATAAGAACTATTTTTAAAGTTTTATTTAAAAACTCTATTGCTGAGTGTTGAATATTTATCTGGCATATGTGTAGTGAGACTAGCCATCCACAATTGTGAATTGCATCATTTTGACATTTTGATAGATTTAAAATATCACTGCTTTTTTTCTTCTTTAATTCTGGAAGTTTTGTGATCTAGAACTTCTAAGTTTCAAATGTCATATACTATAACAATGCAACTGAAAGCCTTTGAAAAGGACTCTGATCCTTTTCTGAAGAATACCCAATGATGATTCATCTGAATAGATCTGATGAGATAAGTGTTTGAGGCTAACAGTCTGAGTTGGCTCAGAATTTCGGTCATCTGTCACCTCTCCTCTGCAAAGAACATAAGATCTACAAATGACTAAAAATTCAAATTTAATGACTGACCCTCGGAATGTGGATGTAACCTTTAATACAAAAAGAGGCACCATCCTGAGTACTTTATTCTACAGAAATGCTTTTGAAACTATTAGTGTTAAAAGAAGTTTTAGTTTTCATCTTGTCACAGGATCACAATTCTGTAAAATACTTAAAATTAATCGCTAGAAAAATGAAATCAATAACAAAACATATATACAGTACAAGATCCCCTCACATGCAAATCAAATATAACCTGGATGAGTGTTATTACTTGTTGTTTAACATTAAAACCAAACAAAGCATGAGTTGAAAGAATGCAGTGATAATTATAGAGAACAAAACACCTTTTTACTTCTCTCAGGTAATTGAGGAAATTTAAGTTTTAATGATCTGTATTATTTTGTTAAAGGTGTGACTTAAGAAATACAATGCCCAAAAGACTGGCCATGTAAAAGAACAGTCTTTGGCTATATCACAATACAATATATTGAAGGCTTAAAAGTACCATGATAAAATTATTATTAGTAATATATACTTCTATATATATATATACTGATATATATAAGTTTATATATCAGTGTATATATATTTAAGTGTATATATATATATATATATATATATATATATATATATATTGAGTGCAACCCCACCTCTGCTGTATGCACTTTGATGTTCATGTAAACTGTAGTGTTATATTTGGTTTGTTTCTTAATGACAATTTAATTATATGTTGTTTTATTCAGCATAGAAAACAGATGATAATTTTCATTATTAAATTGTCTTTAAAACTCTAGATTTTCTAGACAATTTAAATAGTTGAATTTCTTCTGAAGAATCATCTTAAATAGGCTAGACTAGGTTGACTAGAAGGAAAAAATAAACAGCCATTTTATGACTTTATTTAGACGTAGGAATAGCTGTTTTAACACTTGTTCAGAGTTTCTTTACATCATTAACCCAAGGGATTTACAAAAGCACATTTATGGGAGATCCAAGTTGACTGTGTATTGGAGCAAAGACTCATTGTCAAGATGTTGTATTGAGTAATAAGTGATAACTTATTATCCTGAGTGCATTATGTGACTGAAAACCGGGCAGTACTCAGACTTCCAGGCATCCCTGCATGGAAATTGTCCATACCCACTAAACTTCATCTGTTGTGACCATTTTTGACTTCAGTTTGGAGTGAGTTATGGCTGGAATGAGCTATATATATACATAGTTGGAGTGAGCTCTAGCTGGAAGCTATGCCCTGAATCACAAGCCCCCTGCTTTGTTGTTGTTTATACATACTGTACTATTATCTATCTTGTATATTCATTTAAGCTAAGTTAACATGGTACACTATGAAGTCTACTGTATTTCATAGTTTTGGTTATCAAATCAAACCCAAGATCATGCAGCTAATAAAGCAGAGCATATACTATGTAATTGGTAATGGAAAATGTAATATTCTCAGCATATGTTTGCCAATAGGCAAAGAGTTGTTGGTATTTTCAATTATGGCTGTGTAGAATAGATTTTAGAATATCATATGAATATGGACTCTTATTTTGCTAAAATAGAGAAGAAAATTACAGCACTTGTGGAAACATCTATCCAAATCTCGACTATGTGGACAAAACTTCAGGGAGGCAAGACAGAAAATACATAGTTCAAGACCATAGTCTAGGCCATAGTCCTTGGTGAATAACATTCCAACATAACTTTAAAGAAAGCCTACTGTACAAAAGAAGTGGAGAATATAACTTTCATTAGTATCCATTATTTAGTTTCTCCATTTAGAAATAGAATATAATTTTAGCTATCAATTCTAGAAAGTATATTTCTCAAATAAACACTGCTCAGTGGAATGTGAAATGGTAGTCAGGCATTTTCCAGGTGATATCAGTGAAAGATATCTTCTAGCCCTATACTACTCCTTTACCTGCTCTTCATTCTGAGAAACTGAACTCATAGAGAAAAGCTTAGTATGAGAATGTAAGAGGCATGCCCTATCTCTGAAACAATCATTTTCAATATTTCCATATGGAACAAAAAATCTCTCTTATTTAAGGTATTGTATCTTAAAATCTTTTATAACAGCACTGCCTATATTTTAAATAGTACACTATACATGTAAATAATAAAAAAGTGTAATGAACTAGAGTGGAAGTATTACCTTGTAAATCTGAAGGAATATATCTGTCCATGCCCATTTGCTCCAGGCTTCAAATTTGTTCATATCAATAATATAAGGACATTTTCCCTTAGGTGTATATGAATCCATGGAAGCAGTATTAGTGGAGGACTTTAAGAAATAAAGTATTACAATAAAAATTAAACTTCAAGGCAAATGTAAGTCTAAAATTTTAACTGTTTAGCATATGATTTTTTAATATGAAACACGTGCATGCCCTTTATAGATATTCATCATGAGCTGTATTTCCCTATGTGCCAATAAGTAGAAATTATCATCATAGGTAACTTTCTGGAGCACACAGTCCATTATTTAGGTCATAGATTTATTCATTCAATACATCTATTATGTCACTCTGTAGTAGAAGTGATGGAACAAGATTAAAAGTTCTCCTGAACCATGACCCCAGATGAAAACACTCCCTTTGAATTAGGCTTCAGGAATTCAACATAGTGACAAAAATAGACACTGGGCTCTCTCTTCTCATATCACATGGTAAACATAGTGACAGTATCACAACTATGGCATATTTACCTCAAGCCCTTCAAGCTCTTCTAAAAAATTATCTTCTGAAAAAATCAATGCATACTCTGAGAAACCTATGCATTTCTTCCTTAATTTCTCACTATTTCTCTCTCATTTTAAGGACAAAATTAACATAATCCCACACCATTATTCATACGTAAATTCTCCTTAAAAGCAATTCTTAGAGAGTCATGTAATTATTTTTGCATTGGAATCTTATATAAACACAAAGAAAATATAGACTTTCCAAAGAAGATAAAGCCCTAGTATATTTCACATATAAAATTGAAGGGTTCTAGATGGAATCTTCTAAGACTAATATCATTAAATTCAATAATAAATGTGTAAATTTGTTCCTAGAAATTATATTCTCTTACTGAAATTTCAAGCCACTTCTTATAATCACGTGGTTCAAGCAGAAATTCTGGCATTATATGGGAAATACATCCTCCTTGAGTACTAAAATTAAAAAAGAAAAGCCCAAGTTATAATAATATAATACACATCTGCACTGACCTTCAGTGAAATTATTTAAAAATATTATTTCTTTTATATTTGAAGAATCTTAATTTTTAAGTTTAAAATTTATATGATTAATTAAAAAACCCCTTAATAATGAAATGTCCATATAATGTTTCCTTTAGACAACTGGATAAATGATAATAAATTTACTAAGTGCCTATAATCATAATTATCCACCCTTGTATGCTAATTGAATATACAGTGATATGACTTGGTCCTTTTTGTCAATGTAGTAACCACTTTATTGCTATTATAACATTACAAAATTGAAGAAAATCTGAAAAAGTTCAAATATAACAAAGCATCTAATAGCTCAATAGTCATCTAATGTTTACTAAATTCCTATCACCACACATGCCTGAAAATGAAAAAAAAAACAAATATAAAGTAATCTATTAAATATTTTTTCCAAAAGAAATATCCAAAAAATTGAGGAGTCTTTTATTATGTAAACTTGTAGTAGTACACATGAAGCAGTCCATATCTATTTATATTATACAATATATTTACAATATATTTTAGGTATATAGTTTACTACACTTAATATATATATTATTTAATTGTCAAAATTTTTTGAATTTTATCCAAACTTTTCATTTTAATGTCAATCACCAACAGAGGCACTGCACAGAAATCTAGATTATTTTGTCCCAAGGGTTTCCTAATAAAGATTTGAATGTTAGGTATAACTAATTTAATGAAGATAGAATACTGTTCACCAATAGAGCATTTAACAGAAAAGAATGCTGCATGAAGTGCTCAACTCAGTAGGCACTTTCAGCAGTTTACAGTTCTGTAATTACTGAGAAAAGAAAAAAAGAAAAAGCAGAAAAGAGGGTAAAGATGATACTCAAAACTCAAATCCTGAAGAGATCACAGATAAATGAGCAGAGAGAATCGAGGAAGTAAACTCCTATAGGAGTGGAAGTATTGAGCATATTTGTAGAGCTGTTAAGTCTGATGTGAGCCTGGGCCAGTCTAACCAAAGGAAGAAATACTACATGAATAAAATTTGTTTGGAAATCAAACATCATCTTTTCTCTTTATTCTCTGGCAACTTCTATCCTCATGAATCCTCATTATATTTGAATTGCTTTAGTGTTACATAAAATTTATTTTAACGTAACGCTACCCTTCAGCAGGAATAACCACCCTAAAGCTTATGTAAGAATGCATTAAGATGATGTCCCTATAAAGTTGAAATTCTATAAAGTGAAACAAGGACAACACAAACATATGAAGAAACTGGAATATTTTCTTGTAATCAAAGCAGAGACAGTATTTCAGGAAGAAGTGATCATTTCTATCAAATGCAAGAGAAAGCCTAAAGAAAACTATAAAAGAATAACTAAAATGAGAGTTTCTGGAGAAGGGAGAACACATTTATTGGAGTATTCTATAGTGTGTAACAGAGTAAACCTGGGTAAAACTTAAGGATGAAAAACATACTTTTGAATTTTAAATGCTGATGCTGTAATCAATATGTATTCTTAATCTATATTAAGGTCTAATTTTATCAATCCATAATACAGTATTCACATTTATGCCTTTTCAACAGATCTTTTGCATGGTCAGTACTTTTATAGAAAACTGTCCTTAACAACTGATTTGATTAAACTGTTTCTTACTTGTCCTACTTGAACATTTCTTCAAAGTTGACAGTGAGTAGTTCAAAACACAATTAGATGCAATGAGTTATTAAATTTTAAACTTAATCTTCAAAAAATTTTTAAAAATCCAACAGTATTTAAAAGTGAATTTCTCATTGCATAAAGTATATATTTCACTTGTAAAACAGCTCTCATTTACCTTGGGATCAAATTTAAGTGGGGAGGATAATAGTATTTATGACTATTTTAAATTTAATATATTTATTTCCATGATGAAACACATGCACATATCTTGGATTAATGATCCAATTTTATTAACCATGCTGCCACTTTCTAAATGCTAAGTAATTTTATCATAGCCAACATATCCCGATGGGCATGTATTTGCTGATAAAGAGCAAATAAATCTGAATGGCTTGGCTTTAATGCCAAAATCATTCTTCCTTACTTTCATTCTCATATCATAAAATGTCAAAACAGAAACAACCCATGTTAATGTCAACACTACTGGGAGCTGTGCCAACAAGAATGCTACAAGCATAACACAACAGTCGTAAGTACTATAGAGTTTAATGATTTTCCAATGAAATTGTTTAACTTCTACAGCACATACAGTAAGGATTTATATAAGTATTCAAACATTTTGGGTTCTGGTTAAGGTTCCATTAGATTTTAAGCATACAAATAGCTTCCTTAAACAAATGTATCTCAATTTTTGCCTTATTGAGTTAGTGGGTTTACCATATTAAATTAATCTTTAAGGATCAAAAGTAGGAAGTGGTAAATTAAAAAAAAATCATAGGCTTTCTGTTTTCAACATAAAAATTTTCGTAAAATTCTCATTCTATCTAATAAATAAGAGGACATAATTGGTAAACACTGGCTCTTCGATTATTTTTAATTGCTTTTCTGTACCCTCGGTCTTTTTGACAGTGTCCTCTCTATTTATACCTATTTGTCATGTAATCATATGGTGCTGACACTTGAAATAGGGATCTTTTGTCTTTTAGCCTCACTAACGATTGGTAAGCACCCCATAACTGATTCAGCCACGACTCAGTCTTTAAGTATCTGTCATTCATATTGTAGCTTCAGGGCCAACCATCTGCTACTCTTCTTCCTCTTCAATGGGGCCCTGCTAATGTTTCAAGGTAGCAATATCCATGACTGGCTGCCTGGGTTTTGAATCAGTCTCCTTTAGGGACTTAGAAAATTCTAGCTGCATTCTAAGGTATAAGAAACTTTAGCCAGTTTGAATATTGCTATAATTGTGAGGTCAAATAAATGAAAAAAAATTAACACTGTGTCCAACTTTTAATAAATAGCACTTCTAGGGACTCAAAAATCCTGATTTGCAAATAAAAAACTGAATGTCAAATCTTTGATTAGCATTGCTGCTCTAGGAGTCCTCTTGTCCTTCATTTCCATGCCTGTTAAGGCAGATAAATAAATATCCATGGTCAAACGTGAGGCAGATTCCATAGACAAGGAAGCAAAGGAGAAAAGCATATTATTATATTTCAAAACATATTAGCCCTATTACATAAATAATTATAAGTAAGAAATTATATTTCAGTGGTTCAGGAGCATGACGATAGGGTAAGAGTACTTCCTATGTATATGGGCTATTTCCGTGAACAAGGATGGTATAAATGCAGACCAAAGAAGCAATAAAAATTCAGCAACATTCCCTTCAGAACTTTAATGAACACTGCTTTTCTATTTCTTAGCCCCTTGCATTTTAATCTCTGCAGAGGAAGACAGATATTATAATAACAAGAATTTTTCTTATAGTTTATATCAACCATATATGGAACTTTTCATGTGCTTGTTATTTTAATATTGAAGACTTCAGTTATAAAAATCAAAACTCACAGTATCCATAATATGAGACTATATTAACAGTATTTTGAGGAATAACGTTTATTGGTTTCATCCCTTTTTTGTTCAGTAAAAATTATATGACATATATGACTTAGATCAGAATTTTCAAAATAAAGTCACGGACCAGAGCTACCTGTATTACCTTGCAACTTATTACAAATGCAAATTAAATAATGAATTCTACTGCTAAGGGTGAGCAAAATTGATTCAACAAGCCCTCCTAGTGATTTAGATGCATGAAAAATTTGAAAATGACAGCCTTAGGGGATGAGTCTAAATGATCGTAGAATGCTTATTTTCTATGAGGGAGTATATATTTTTCTATGTTGTATACAATACTGTGTATAAATATTTGACAAAATATATTTGGTAAAAATATTTCAGATTATCTATTATCTATCATCTACCTACCCATCTATCCATTCACCTATCCATCCACACATTCACTTATTTATCCAAGTTATAATCACATGCTGAAATTAGTATATTCATGCACTTACTTGAGAAAATCCAGAAGTGAAGAATATTGAAAATGAAGCTGAATCACCCTTTTAGTGTCATCCACAGGTAAAGACTGACTTGAACTAATTCCAGGTGGCAGTACTCCACTCAAGTGGAGCAACACATCATAAATCGTCTTATTGTATTTGGAAAAATCATTCTGTCTGGAAAATTTCTTGGGTGATGAGTAAAACTGTATTTTTTGCACATCTCTATGAGAAAGAGACTTTAAGTTAAAATCAGTCTTGAAATATTACAAAGTATGAAAAAAGTTTGATGACTAAAGTCCTGTTAAATGCAACTAAAGAATTCCAAAATGCACTTCACTCAGATGTCATTTGTTATTCTAGCTCAATTTTAAAATATTCTCAAATTTCGGGCATCTAGTTTGAACACACATTGTTGTTTCATGCTGCAATTGTAAAGCCAGAAGAATTGGATTCAGAATTTATTACACTGGAACAGGAGAACAGAGATTGGCTCCTGGGCTCATCACCTACTTGCTGAATAAATATGGCAAGTAAGTTAAATTTATTGAGCTATAAATTTTGTATACTATAAATTAGAGCTAATGTCTACAATAGTTTATGAGTTAGACTTCAAACATTTAGCACATAAGTATATACAAAAATAAATTTATAAACATTGTCTTGATATTTGTATTTTAATGCTTAGAAAGGCACAGCCTATATATTGGCTTAATGAGTAGGGATACTCACCTGAATTATAAATTTTACAAACATACTATTCCTATATATCTCTCTATTCTTTCAATAAGAAACTGCAATCTCTATTCACTAGTACTTTGCACCAAGTTGTGATGCTTGCTAATATTTGAACGAAATAAGAAATTGTTAGCAATCAGGATCAATGTATCAGAAGCTTATACTGAAAAATAAAGAGCACCCAATGGGCAATTTCAAATAGTAGTTCTCTTAGTGTGGTAGAAAGGAAGTCTTTACAGCACAATACAGGAGAAAGTACATTGAATTAGGTAAGAGCTAGACTAACATTGGTCAAAACTTGGCTCTACAATTTACTGACTGATCCTACAAAATATACTTGAACCTTTGTTTCTTCATCTTCCTCAAAAGTACTGGACATAATACAACTAATATGTCCTGGAATTATCAATAAAGAAAAAAACATTTTGTGGAGAAAATTAACACGATTATAGGCTGAGATAAAGGCAAACAAAAAAAATAACAGAAAATAAAAACAGACTCACAGGGTCACCAGGTATGATAGATGGAAGACATATATTTTAAATTAACTGTACGTACAATATTCAAGAATTGAAACTTTAAGAGAATTTGAGCCAGTCCCAGCACCCGAGAGGAGGCTCCCCTGCCGCCATTCCATGCTCCTAGGGCAGAGAAGGTGAGCCCCACGGGTGCCAGGATCAAGACCCCCCTCCCTGTGGAAATGAGAAGACACATAAAAAAGCCTCAAAAACAGACTTCCAGATCACCTACAGGAACCCCAAAGGGAAACAAGATGGAACAATCTGATACTCAACTAACTGGATTCCCTGAACTGGCAAAAAAAGAGGATCTGGGTAAAATGAAATCAGAAATAATTTATCAGATAACAGCAAAGATTATGCTCATAGTGCAAGACATGATTAATAAATCTAGAGAGGACACAGATAAAAAAATAGAGGAACTGAGGAACATGATGGAATCCCAACATACACAACAAATGGAATTGATAAAACAGATGCAAACAGATTTCCAGATTAAAAACTCCATCGAAAGTCTGCACAGCAGAATGAAGCAATGTGAGGACAGAATTGCAGATATACAAGATAAGATTGCAATTAGTGACCAGGAAAAGAAAAATTGCTTTAAAATTGTAAGGGAACACAAGAAATCAATCCAGCAGCTGCTAGACAATGCAAAGAAGAATAACATAAGACTGATTGGAATCAATGAAGAAAC